ACTTCAATAACCTTTTTCTTCCAACTGCTTTTTCATCAAAATTATAAAACTTTATTGCCCAATAAGCTTTGTGTTCTAGCTCGAGTGCTAGGTAACAAGCTTTTCTATAGATTGGTTGATAGAGGGAGAATCCTAAATAAGTCTTAATTGTTGTTCTATACGCCCATATAACGTCATCTAGCTTTTTCGACCAATCTTTCCTAGATGTGGCAACTGTCTTCTCCAAAATTTGTTTCAATTGTTGGTTAGATACTTCTACTTGTCCACAAGTTTGAGGATGATAATGTGTGTATAATTTATGTTTCACATTATATTTTGCAAGAGCGCCTTTCAAATACTTATTGCAGAAATGCGTCCCCCATCGCCGACCAATACTTTAAGGACTCTGAACCTAGCAAAAATATTATTTTTCAAAAAATTAGAGATAGTTTAGGCATCATTAGAAACACGTGTGATAGCTTCAAACCATTTGGTTATGTAATCCACACAAACAAGAATGTGCACTTGACAAGTTGATGATGGAAAAAGATCCATGAAATTAACTTTCCAACAATCAAAGTGTTCTACCTCTATCATACCATTAAGAGGCATTTCGTCTCGTTTTGAAATATCTATTTTCTGTCACTCGAGATATTCTTGAACATACAACTTACACTCTTTGAATATAGTTGCCATCAAAAGCCATTTTGAAGCACTTTCGTTGCTGTTCTTTCACCACTATGATGATCTTCATACGCTGAGCTATGAAAAAGCCACATAATGTTTCTAGCTTCCTTACCCGCAACACATTTGCGAATCAAATAGTTAGCACTGATTTTAAATAGATAAAGCTCATCCCATAAATAATGATTAGCCTTTTTATATAATTGCTTCTTCTGTTTTCAGGTGTAGTCTTCCAACACACTCTTTGTAGCTTTATAGTTGACCATATCAGCATAGCAAGATCATTCGTTGATTGCCATCAAATGCTCATCGGAAAACTTTTTCAGTAATGTTCCTCTCTTTTCGAGTCACTTTCTTATTCTCCAACCTAGATAGGTGATCAACCACCACAATTTTCAATATTCTTTTTTTATTAATCTTTTATCTCTAAGTCGAACTCATATATAACAACAATATTCATCAGAACAACCTCGACTTAGAATCTCCTTTGTTGAAAGGATATTTTAGTGCTGCACGATTTGTAAAAATAACCAATTTCGAACCAATTAGATATAATTTTTCCAAGGAAAATACCACTGTTAGTAATTCTTTTTCGGCGGTGGTATAATTTACTCGATTTTTGTTTAAAAATTTACTAGCATAGTAAATAGCATGGAAAATTTCTCGTGGCATTGACTAAGAGATGCTCATGCCATATAATCACTCGCATCATACATAAGCTCAAAGGAAAGTTCCCAGTTTGGAGTGACAATTACAGGTGCAGTCACTAACTTTTATTTAATAACAGAAAAAGATTTAAAACATTCATCATCAAAATCAAAATCCTTTTCCTTAACTATGAGGTTGCAAAGAGGTTTTGCAACCTTTGAGAAGTCCTTTATAAATCTTCGGTAAAAACCGACATGTCCTAGGAAACTTCTCACTCCTTTAACATTAATTGAAGGGGGGTAATTTTTCAATAACCTCTATTTTGGTTTGATCAACCTCGATGATCTTTGATGATTTTTTATTTCTTAAAATGATACCTTCAGTAACCATACACAGAAAAACTAAGTTCGTTTCAGTACATCTCTCAAAAACAACATTAAGGTGAGCAAGACATTTATGAAAATCATTACCAAACACTGAAAAATCATCCATAAATACCTCGATGGAAGATTCAATCATATTAGAAAATATAGAAAGCATGCACATTTGAAAATTTGCGGGAGCATTGCATAATTCAAATGGTTCTTGCGATAAGCGAACACTTCAAAAGGGCATGTGAAAGTAGTTTTTTCTTGATCTGCGAGATCCACAACAATCTGATTATATCCCGAATAACCATCCATGAAACAATAATATGTTTGACTTGCTAATATTTTTAACACCTGATCTATAAACGGTAATGGAAAATGATCTTTTCGAGTTGCTTGGTTTAACCGTTGATAACCAATACACATCCACCATCCGATAATTGTTCGAGTCGGAATCAACTCATTCTTTTTATTTTGAACGAAAGTCATACCTCCCTTTTTAGGACTACATGCACTAAACTTACCTAAGAACTTCCAGAAATAGGGTAGATCATACATGCTTCATATAGTTTTAAGACTTCTTTTTTCACCACTTCTTTCATGGTAGGATTCTGTTTTTTTTAGGTTAAACTACTAGCTTAAATTCTTATTATATCTTTATCTTATGCATACAATAAGTTGGGCTAATGTCTTTTAAACGAGTCACACTCCAACAAAGCGCTCGATTGTTACCTCTTAAGACTCTCAACAATTTTTTTTCTAGAGTTGATAAAGAACTACTTATGATGGCTAGTTGTAACGATTTCTCACCCAAAAGACATACTTCAAGTGTTTCGGAAAATCTTTTAACTCAGGATATTTTTGAGCTTGTGTTGGATTGGGTTGCTCAGTAGCATCCAAGTTTTCAATTTTTCTCGTTGCGTTATTGACCATTGTTATCTAAAGTTGATGAAAACTCTCGGCTATCTCCATATCAGATCAATCTTCAACCTTTTCTACTGAATTAATAATGACTCGATCCATCAATGGTGAAGGAGTTTCTATTGTAATTACCTCTTGAACGACTTCTTCCATTATGTCAATTGTATAACATTGAGGGTTTTCTTTCTGATGCTTCATCACTTCGAACACAATTTTTTCTTTGTTGAATCTCTATATTAACTCCCTCGATTCCACATCAATAAGAGCTTTACATGATGCTAAGAATGGTCTTGCGAGAAGTAGTGATGTTTCAAAATCTCCTGGCATGTCTAAAATCACAAAACCTGTCAGAAACAACAAAATATCAACTCTAACAACTACATCTTCAAGAACACCATATAGATATGTGATAGAAAGACCAACTAATGTTAGACTAATTTGAGCCGACTTTGGTTCACTACAGTTTAACTTTCTCAGCATAGACAACAACATCAAATTAATGTTAGCCCCTAAATCACACAAAACATGACCAATAGTTTAGTGAATCAATAGAACAAAAACTAATAAACCTACATGAATTTATGAGTTTAAGTGGAAAATTTCGTTGAATGAAATTGCATTGTATTCTTCTAGTAAAACGATATTCTCATCATGCTTCAATTTGCATTTTTTCAATAAGAGTTCATGAATTTAAATAAAAGGACACATATTCTAAGAAAAAAACAAAATAAAAGGATTGCAAAATTCAATATTTAAAATGAAAAGATAAAAAACAAAAACGATTAAGTTGTTATTACAAACTTAGCTAATTTTCATCATAATTATTTGGTAGTATTTGGTATATAACCTACCCCTAAAGTTGATCCTGAAATAGAAAATCTATCTTTCTAAAAAAGAAAATGATATGTTTACACTCTTTTTTAACACTACACCGTAATTTTATACATTAAACATACATATTTTATATTTTAATTATTTATTTTACTTTGGTTAATGCACAAAATAATTTTTTTGTTGTTATTACATTTGGTGTATGGATAAGGTGTAGTGGAAATTAGTGTCAAAGTAGCACACCTCTTCTAAAAAAATGTCACTTTCTACCCCTAGTTATCTAGTCGCTTTCATAAGAAAATACTAGTATCTATTATCTACTACTAGTAAAGAAAAGAAAAACACCTGAACCTTATATTTCCTTGCAAACACCATCAATCATACTATAAATTTAAGAACCACATGAATTATGCACAAAAAAACAGGACTATATATTACGTGATCTTAATTTGTGTGGACATTTTATCCACAGCACTCTATTTTTATGTTATTCAAAATACTTTTATTAAAAATTAGCGAATTAAAAAATCTGATATAATTGGAAAATTTAATATAATGATTTTTTTCAATAATGAATTATAAAAATCCGTAAGTTTCGAAATTTTTTGGATTTGTTGAAAACATTCGTAGTTCATTCAATAGAAAAAAATTGAAATTAGTTTTATCAGTTTTTTGAAAAATTCATAGTTTTTTCTTAAAAATATAGTAGTCTATTTTGAAAAATTCAATAAAAAAACTCGTTAAAATCTCATATTTTTAAAAAAGTTCTATAGCATATTTTGAAAAATTCCATAAATACTAATAGATTATTAAAAAAAATTCAATAAAATTTTTAAATTATTTTTAAAAATTTGATAAAAATTTAATTTTTTTGAAAAATATGATACGATAAAAACTCGTAGATTTTTTAAAAAAATCTGATAAAAATTCATAGTCTTTTAAAAATTAATGATATTGTGTTTGAAAAATTCAATAAAAATTTATAAGATTTTGAAAAAAATAACATAAAATTATCAAAAATATGATAAAATGTTGTAAAATTCTTAAAAATCTGATTAAAACTCAACTTTTCAAAAACTTGAGAAATCACAAGTTATATGATAGTATAGCATTGCAATTATGAAATGCCAGCTTAATAGTGTAGAGGTGGCAGAATAAAATTTCTTTCTGTGTTGTTATTCATTGGTCCAGTTCATTTCCCTTGTCCATTTTTTGTTTTCATACAATAACACCTTAACAAGTAGACCAATTAAAAAAAGAGCTTTAAATTTTATTCACTAACTTTTAAAGGAAAAAAAGAGAGATTTCTATAAAAAGGAAAAAATAAAAATAGAAGAAATAATAGTCATTCAATTTAGAAGAATTAGTTTTATTCATAATGCAAAATTATCCTTGTGATTGAAGTTATCATTTCTTAGACCACAAATATATAATTGTGGCAATAATTTTTTCCACATAATTTTTGAGCTTTTGATATTTCTCAATAAGCACTTAATTGATCGCTTATAAATTCTGTAGTTGGTTCATTTTATTTTGTCAAGTGAATTGAATTTGAAAGTGTTAATTCATATGATCATGGCTTTGAATTTGTCCTCCCCAGTTCATATAAAACCCTCATTTTTCTCTGATAAAATTAACACCTCCATAAAACTTTCAGGTTCTTCTCTCTTGTCTTTATCTCATCACCTACATATCATATATTATAAATCATGATAAGAGCTTTCTCTTTTCTCTAACATATATTTTTTCTGTTAACTTTCTTGCTTATAAGTTACTACTATTATTATTAATTTTATGTGTAAAATCTAAAAATTAAAAAAAAAAAGTATATAATTTTGGCAATATATATATATATATATATTGGTCATCCACATGATGACATTAAAATTAAGATATGTTTAGCTAGCTATAAAAATGATTCTTGCTGCTATGTTATATGTCCTAATTATATTAGTAGTTGATTAGTAAGTAGTAGTAGTAATTAAGTTGAGTTTGGTAATGATGAGCAGGTAAGTTTGCATTGAAGAGAAAAGAGAATGACACAAAAGTAGTAAAGAGAATAGTTCATTGTTCAGCAGCAAATTCAATAGAACCAGCTTGGCCAGGAACAGCTATTCCTGAACCTAGTGATTTCAAAACATGGGATGGTCCAAAACCTATCTCTGTCTTAGGTTCAACTGGTTCCATTGGAACTCAGGTTTACAAATCAACATTTTAAACATTCTTTGGTGTCTTCTATTTCCAAATCTTTGAAATGAAATCATTTCTATATTTGTTTTGTAGACTCTTAATATAGTTGCTGAGTTTCCAGAAAGATTTCGAATTGTGGGACTAGCAGCCGGTTCAAATGTTACTCTTCTTGCTGATCAGGTAACAATTACTTCCTTCCATATACTTTAACTGACACACACAGATACCAGACACGACACTATGACCAGGTAACAATTACCTTCTTTCAGACACCGACACTAACACAAATAATAATTGAAGAACATGAAACACTTGAATGTAATCACTTGACGTCGGATCCTGACACATGTTGGACACCAGACATGTTAGTTTGAGGTGTAGGGACTAGATAGATTTTAAACACAATTCATTTTCCATATTATGCAGGTAAAGACATTCAAGCCTCAAGTAGTAGCTCTTAGAGATGAGTCTAAAATTGATGAACTCAAAGAGGCTTTGGCTGATGTTGAACACAAACCTGAAATCATTCCTGGAGAACAAGGTGTCATTGAGGTGAAAATCTTCATTTCACTCTATCATATATATGTGATTGGCCTATGAAGCCATTGTAATTTTTTTTTCTGAGTAGTATCCATTTTTTCTCAGGTTGCTCGTCACCCCGATGCAGCCACAGTAGTTACCGGAATAGTTGGTTGTGCCGGATTAAAGGTAACAATCAAATTGCCGCAACTTTTACGTGGTTGATGCAGTTCAAATAAGTGTTTATGGTTAATTAAGTTGAACAAATTTTGTCATATAAATAGCACAACTGTATTTACAATTGCAATTTCATTTTGTTATTTTCTACAGCCAACGGTTGCGGCGATTGAAGCAAGGAAAGACATAGCATTGGCAAACAAAGAAACTATGATTGCGGGTGGAGCTTTTGTTCTTCCTCTTGCTCACAAAAATAACATCAAAATTCTTCCCGCCGATTCAGAACATTCTGCAATTTTTCAGGTATTTCAAGTCCATCATCATTTGCATGAATTCTTTCTGCCAATAATCGATCGTTGATGCATAACAATTCTTCTCTATACAGTGTATTCAAGGGTTGCCAAAGGGTGCACTTAGGAAAATCCAGTTAACGGGTTCCGGTGGCACCTTCAGGTATAACAACGTAGTTCAAGAAGAGTATTGACCTGAATTATCGATCGGCGAATGTTAATATTGTTAGTATTATTGACAGAGAATGGCCTATTGAAAAGATGAAAGACATTAAAGTTGCTGATGCATTAAAACATCCCATTTGGACTTTAGGAAGAAAGATAACTGTAGATTCTGCTACCCTCTTCAATAAGGTAACTTTGTTCATACAACAATCAATGTTTTTCTTTATCGAAAACGTTTTCAGGCGAATAATTGAATGACATATTCTTAGTCATATAAAATGTTTCAATTTTTTCTTCTGTTTTTGGCAGGGTTTAGAAGTAATTGAAGCACATTACTTGTTTGGAGCAGAATATGATGATATTGAGATTGTTATCCATCCACAATCTATCATACATTCTTTGGTTGAAACACAGGATTCTTCTGTTATTGCGCAGTTGGGGTTACCTGATATGCGGTTGCCACTCCTTTATACTCTGTCATGGCCCGAAAGAGTTTATTGTTCTGAAATAACTTGGCCTCGCCTCGATCTTACCAAGTAAAATCAATTTTCTTTGTTTCAAATTTTCACTTGTTTAAAGATACCTTCAAAAGGAATAATCACTGCTAGATTGACTAATGTAAGCTTAATGGCTCAGGTATGGTTCTCTAACATTTCAAGCACCGGACACCAAGAAGTTTCCGTCCGTGAATCTTTGCTACGCGGCTGGACGTGCCGGAGGCACCATGACCGGAGTCATCAGCGCTGCAAACGAGATAGCTGTAGAACTGTTTGTAGCAGAAAAGTAAGTAAAGTCTTAGTTATCAGTTTCATAGACTTTTTTTGTCGAAGGTGAATCCTCTTCTGATCGAGTATTTTCGTGTTTTCAGGATTAGCTATCTAGATATTTTCAAGGTTGTGGAGCTAACATGCAATGAACATCAGAAAGAATTGGTAACATCTCCAACACTCGAAGAAATTCTTCACTATGATCAATGGGCAAGACAATATGCTACTGGTTTGCAAAAGGCTTTGAGTTTTTGAATGTGGCTAATTGTTGTCAACAATAGCACATTTTGTTTTATGTATTTTGTTGGTGTTCATAAATTTGTATAAAATGTAAAGAGTAACAATGTATGTGTTAAAAGGGGTTTCAATGAAATCTCTGATTAATTCATTCAAAGCTTGATCTTACAACTGATTTAGCAGTCTTTGAGCACAAGGTTGGACTTTATCATTTTCGAGATAGGGAATTTTATTATGCAAAAAGGAATCAAGAGATGTTAAGTGATGAAAAGCACATGAATCGGCAAACCATGCTTAAGGCTCTAATTTGTTTGGCAAACTTCATACATACGAGCCTTCATGATCGCATTGAAGTGTTAGTAGACTATGTCCCAAACTTCATACGATCGTTTGCATGTGAAAAGTCGAGGTAACACATTGGGAGACTGTTGAGAGCATCCATATAAACAAGACTTGATCTTGGACAATCTAGGCTTTTTATATACACTTCAGAGACCAAAATTGAACATTATCATAAGCTGCAAGACTAAAAGCATAATTAAACAGAGTAAAAAAGAAGGCTAAGAGTTTAAACAAGGTAAGAGACAAGTAACACAGCAATGTAATTGTGCATCTAAGCTACTGCATTGGCTTTAAAACCTTATAAAAATGCATAGAATGAATGCAAATAATCATTGAAAAATGTGATCCAAGAAGAACCGTTATTGCACTCCAGAAGAAGTAGCATTTGCAATACTTTGCAAGAATGAGGTTCTTGAAGCAAGGTCAGTTGAAAAGCATCCTAACACAGCAATGGTAGCTGTACTGCTTCCAAACTTCTCAATTCCTCTAGAAATCATGCATGTGTGACTTGCTTCTACTACTACTATTACATTTCCACCTAGAAGCGGCGAAACGGTTTCCGCTATCTGCTTTGTTAGCCTTTCTTGAACTTGGAGCTTGAAACCGTAAAAATGAACTATTGACTGAAGAAGTGATTTTCCGATTGGATTGAATCCTTCTGAAAGGAAATATCCTATGTGAATGACGCCGTGAAATGGAAGTATATGATGCTCACATTGTGACCAAAACGGCAAGTTCAACTCGGTGTATATTTGTTTGTCGATGTTGTTTACCACCTCGTTGGTGGCAATCAAAGGTTTTATCCCGCCACAAAGGGAGCCGTTTAGCTTCATATCCATGTCTATGCTTTGGAAGTTCAACAGCCATTTCACGAATCGGTTAGGAGTTCCTGCAAGCTCCTTCCGAACCGAATCTTCTCCCAAAGATTTTAGAATTGATGATACTGCGGTGACCATTGACGGATTGATTGGTCCGATTTTAGAGGAAACTTTAGTGGAAATGGTGGAGAGAGACGGACACCAGCATTGGTCAGACGAAGCTCGAAGATGAATTGTTTCCATATCAACGCCTCTAGACTTAATAAGGTAAAAGAAATCGGCCCACTCGTCTGCATTTTTGTTTTCAAAGACACCAGAACCCGATGAAACATGTATATTTCCCCATTCTTTCTGGTTGGATTCTAGAAAGATCGACTCTATGTCTGGAAAGTGAATATGTGTACACTGAAGTACGACGGCAACACCTGCGGGTTTTATTCCCTGTTGTAAAGCCGAAGACACTTCGTCTGCTAGACGCTGAGGCTCTTGAAGACGTTTAGCAAATACTTCGGCTACACGAGAGAGCTTGCTTAATCCAACGACTCTTTGGCCAGAAGGGACATAACCGACATGACATTTGACCTGGAAAGGTAGCAAGCAAGATTCACAGTAGGAATAGAGATCAATGTCTCGGACAATCACAAGTCCGCCAGCCCCGCCGGCATGACCGATTTTATTATTTTCTAGGCCAGCTTCAGGAAATAAAGCACCTTCCACAATGTCCTTCACTTTTTGTCTATAACCTGTAAAAAGGTTCAAATTCTTCAAGATTAGTAACAATATTGTGCTAGAAAATATGACAGTTTTTAAATTTTACACAATAACAAATAGATATAATCATTAAGAGAAACTATGCGAATCAAACATGCAAAACAAGAAACCGAAAAAATGGATGCTTTAGGAAATAGGCCCTAGTAATACGACATTTGGTTCCCATGAGTAATCCGGAGTTTGGCCTAAAGATAAGTAAACTCTAGCCAAGGAATGTTCCGGCTAGAATTTGAACTCAGGTCCTCTCATACGATTTGTCCATAATTAATGTTCATTAACCACTTCAACCCAATCACTTGGTTAAAATGATTGAATGATGAATAAATGATTACATAACCATCCCACTAATACAAACAGCTTCCCATTCAAATTTAGACTGTCTGAATATCATAAAATGAACGGAGCAGAATGGAAAAGAGCGGAGTGAAGCGGAATGGAGTGGAGCGGACCGAAGATTCCATTCCATTGTTTGAAAATTTTATGACGGAACAAGACAAGTTCTTCATTCTGCTCAAATAAATATGATGGTAACTGATGGAATGGAATGAAACCCATAGCACTCCATCCAAACAATGAAATACCATTCCATTCCATTTCATACCCTCCATTCAATCAAAGCCTTAGCCAACTATAGACAACTATTTACCTTAATAAGGTCAAATCTACATTGAAGATAATATAATGCAACTACTTGAAAGAAACCCTTCCTTTTAAAAAAAACTAAAACATAACTAATATGCTAAGTTGTAAATTGAACTAGAATAGTTGACATCAAATTCACTTAAAAATTCAAAGCATTGAAAATCATAAAACCAAAGAAAAACCAATATGGTTCAAAGAAATGAATAGAGCAAATGAAAATCACCTCTAGTTCCTTCAAGTAGAGCTTTTGCAACACGAAGTGGTGTTTTCTTAAGACCTTCCCTATTAATATCTTCACCAAGACCCAACAAAAGGACCTTCACAGCATCCTCAATAGCAACTTTATTTGCATCATCCTCAATCTCACCATACCCAATACTCACTCCATTTTCAAGCTCACCATTGAAATGCCCCTCATCAAAACACCCCATTGAAATTATAGGAAAATCCAAAATTGACACAGATTTGCAAAAAGTATCAAACTTTCAAACAAACCAAATGAAGGGTTGCAAAAAGTATCAAACTTTCCAACAAACCAGATGAAGGGTCCAAAAGGGTAACAAACCAAATTCTGAGAACAACATCAAATGAATCAAAAACATGAACGCACGTAAATCACAAATCAAAGACACGAAAAAATTATTAAAAAAATGTAAGAGGGTGTGAAAAGATCTGCCTGGGTCTCATAAATGTTGGGTTAAGGTTGATGTTGGAATGTGTGGATCATGGTTTATGAGTTTTTTTTTTTTTTTTTGTGTGTGTCTATAATTTACTAGTAATCAAAATGAAGAATATGAAAAGAAAAAGAAGAAAAGGAAATGATTATGGAATTTGTGGGGTGGATGGTGTTGTGGGCCAAGACATAGGATATCTATCTCAATGAGTACAACATCACCAATTTTGCAACACTCAATTTTGATATCCAAAATGGAATTTAATTTAAATTCATAAGGGCACTGATAAATTAGTTATTAGAATTATTGTTTCCAAATCCAAAAACAAATAAATTATTTTTGTCTATAAGAGGAGGAATCAATATAGAGAGGATAAAAATGACTTTGGTTACGAGTAATTATGTTTTTTAATTAGTTGACCATTATGTTTATATATCCATGATGGAAAAACTATATGTGAGTTTTATAGTCTAGGTATAAGGATTCTAACTTATGTGATATTAATTTATGATGAATGATTGTGAGTAAATTCTACGAGTTGATTTATATTTGATATCAATCTTAGTAGTAGATTTTTGAGACAATTCTTTATTATTGAAAATAGAATAATTGTGAGTCAAATATTTTAGATTGATTTACATTAAATATTAACTGGATGAGCATCTTGAAAATTAAATGATTATGATTCATATTATTCTACGGGTTGATCCATATTTAATATCAACAGAATGAGAGGACCTCTGAAACAACTCACCTTAGAGTGTTTTTGAGAATTGAATGATTTTGAACCAACTTTTTTAAATTGATCTACTGGATAAACATACCTCTAAAACAACTTATCTTAGATTGTCTTTGAGAATTTAAATGAACCAGATAATATGTGTTCCCTTTTAATTTATAAAATTGCATTGATAATAATGGCAGTACACAACTAATAGTATCGAGTGATTCAAAGACATGAGGGGACAATTTACACTGTCTTTTTATCTTAAAACATAAGTGTGGATCCTTCTACATGCAAATTCAAGGCTAGTTTGCAGATGTTTTTAGTTTAGTTTGTTGAGAATTTTTTTTATCTATAAGAACTATATATCTGACTGATGTGTATAACTAAAATAATACTTGTATATCTTTTGATGTTGATCTAATTGTTTTACTCATGATCTGGTTGTGTATGTACTAACATATTAACTTTTGCATGACTCGCCTCTAGCTGCTAATTTTTGAAGAGTTGACAATTTACCAAATTATGGCAAAAAAATGGGACTAGTGGTAGTGAAGAAGGTAACATGTGATTGTTTAGTACTAACCTTCTGGTAAGTACTAATGATATCCTCACATGCTAGAGCACTAGGCAAGACATCTGACCCCCCTTATCTGCTCTTTTGTGTTAGTATTATTATGCATATCCTGATACTAACTGCTAACTATTTATGTTGTGCATGATTAAGTATGTGAATGATTGCATGCTAATAATTATTAGTTAGTAGGATTGTATGCTACTAATTATGCGTTGACTAGGTAACATGCATGACTAAGTTATGAATGATTGCATGACAAACTGAGTGGTTTTGAAGCATTGTTTTGTGTGACATATGTGATGCTACTGACTTTCCACTACAATGCTACAACTCTGATGAATGTTAATGTTGTTGATTGTATGCTCTAATCGTACAATACTTCTACTGGCTGTCACTTGTTCTGATTGAACGAGTGTTATATCTTGAAGAGTTGTTTTGCCATAAATTTTCAAAGGGGGAGATTGTAGTTCCTTTTGGATTGGCCCTTTGAATTGGTTGCATTTTTCAAAACAACAACATGGAGAAGTGTCTAAAGTGTTCAAGATTAATCTAACTTGCTTAAGTTGTATGAAGGTGCATAAGAGACACATGTTGTAGACGATGTCCTAACATGCGAGTACGACATATGGGGCTTGCGCAACAAGTCATTGTTGTTGCGTTATGGAAGATTTTCTAGTCAAAATTTGGATCAGATTTTATTACTATTAGTTTAGCAATATGGTTAAATGGTTTATTTGACAGTTGTAAGAAGATCAAATCAGATTTAAATGGAGATTTAAATTTGAATTTAAATTTGAAACAAATCATATCTTTTTGGAGAGATTTAAGGATCAAATAATGTCGAATAGATTCTACAAATATTCTAGACGAATTTAAATCAAATATCCAAGGAGAAAATTGCAAAATACTTTTTCTATATAAGAAGACTCAATTCTCATGATTTTATAAAGAATTGTACACAATAATTAGTTCTTAGTGTCTAGGATTTGTGAGTCTTTTATTCCTTATATTCCACGCTAATGCCATAACTGGATTAGGGTTGAATCTCTGTATGTACACCATTATGTTTCAGTAACTTGGCATAATAGGTTTGTCTTAGTTGAGTTGTAACATTCAACATTATTGATTGAGTTGTAATCTCTTATCACGAGTTGTGCCATAAAGAAGAAAGTGAGTACGTTCACATATTTAAGGGGAGTCCTAAATAGAAAGTCATTGGATAGTGTTAGGAAGAGACATTTGACAATATATGGTTTGTTGTTGCTTGTAAGTCTAATTATACTAAACTACTAATGGTAGTTTTTTCTTTGGTTGGAAGTCAACCCTCCATCTGTATGAGTGATTTGCATTGAATTGAGTTACCAATTGATTGTCTTTTTTTACTAATTTTTTACTCCATCATCTTGTGTTAGTTAAGTGTGGTGTTACTTGTAACACCCTAAACCCCACACATAAAATTATCATAGAATTTAATTAAACATAATACAACAACTCAAGATGCCACACACCACAAACACATAACCTGCTCCATAACACGGGTTACAACAAAATAGTTTAATACGCACATTTGTATCTGAGATGTTTACATGACATCAAACTCATCTGATCTGTATCTGGGGTGTTTACACGACATCCCATTCATCTGATGTTTAAGGTGTCATTGCAGCTGAATCATTAGTAAAGCAATTAACAACAATATGGCAAATCATAACATCTAGTATCATAAACGTTAACTTCACAACATAAGAAAAAATGAGTTCATAACAGTCAACTCAAAACAAATTAGAAATACCTACAACATAAATAGTCTTGAATTCAAACATAAACTACATAAGAATCAATTCAAGCGTTTATCCCCAGCCCGATGTTACATGATCAGAGCAATGCACCACTAGTCAAAGCGATAAATTAAAGAAGTAACTCCAAGAGCTATCTTCTACTTACTTCAGCAAAGTTACTTCTGACTATCTGCATGTTGACCATGTAAAGACAACATTCAAATAGAAGAGTGAGAAATACATTCAAATAATTAATTGTGCATAAACAATCAGAGTAGATTAAATACAATACACATCAAACATAATCCACTATACACAATAACCCATGTATTCAAGTTTCACCCACTTCATAACAACACACAATCAATATACAATGTGATACTCAACAATATTATAGACTCATATGCATGCGGTACCAATATCAATAATGGTTCTCACTATGAATTGAGTTCCAATCAACTGCGAACCCATGGGATTCATTCAGCAAACGAGAGCTCCAACACCGAACTCCAGGCCTCAACATCAAGCTTGAGACAATTACCGGTCACCAACATCAAAACCTATAATTGCCTCTTTCACAACAACAACAACAACTCATGATACATGAATGAATGAATGAATGCATCATCATCACAATTTAACAACAACTAACAGTATCACATCGAACTGTATGATTCATGTACAACAACCACATGGTAGTTTTCACACTTAAACTACATATCTCAACTCAACATGTTATCGTTATAGTATAACAATTCATCTCATAATCACATCAACATTATCATAACAATTGCAACAACATAAACGGTATCGAACCACATATTTTTTGTACAACATCAACATGTTTGTTTCACATCAAAATCATACATCTCAACTCAACATTTCATCAAAACACGATAATTAAATAGCCTGCAATTATATTAGCAATTTACCATAATAATTCATCAATAACAAAAACTCAATGTTTCGTTAAACGATTAATAACATCATCATGTAAACCACAACAACATAATACACATAATCCTAGTTTAATCACTACAACTCTCACTACCACCGCGTAGTTCAGCGTGTTAGCTATTCAATGCTTTAAACAACATCTAAATCGAACTTACGGAATGAAAGTTATGACTAAAATCGTCAGATATGTCAACTAATTCGAAAGCAGATTTTTTTGAAAATTTTACACTATGCAATCGATTACAATCACTGAAAGGTTTTCCAAAAATTTACAATGTGCAATCGATTGCAGTCAGGGTGCAATCGATTGCACTGAAAGATTTTCCAAAAATTACACTAGTGCAATCGATTGTAATCTAGGTGTAATTGCAGCTGAATGATTTTCTTAAAAAATAGTTTTCTCTCTTACGATTGCAGAACCAATTCCAACCCTTTAAATCTCATACCAGTCCCAAATTAATCCACCAAAAACTCTCAAAGTCACATTCTAACATCACCAATAGATCAAACATAATTAAATAGTCACAACTAGAGTTTTTCCTCATGATTCCATCATCCAAAATTATACCCTAAAGCACCAAATTTTTATCAAAACTCAAGAACACACCAATTTAACAACAACACACTATGGCATTCAATTCAATAATGTGAAAACATAATTATCAGCATGCAATTTATCAACAATCAATCAATCTTCAACAACATTCATCAAGGTTCATCA